TAGATGCACAGGAACACAAAAAGTAAAAACCTATTTCTGTAAATAAGGGCCTCAAGATACTAGGGGCTTCATAAATTACCTATTTAACTTACAACATGGATTTAAATTTGTTTTATTACTGTATGTATTAAATCTAAAAGGAAAGGCAAAAATAAGTTATAATTGCTAAATAGACAAAAGTATCCCTTCCTTTTCGTTCTGCTGCATTTGAACTGTTCCACAGTCTTATTGCAAAAATGTTGGCACGAGCAATGCAGAAAAAAGGGAAAAAGGGCACGACGGTTCCAGACACGAAGCCGACTACAAGAGCACTTGTGCAAGCATTGCTAATGCTAATGAAGCTATCCATCTCTGCTACCAGTTGGTGTGYAGACAAAAGTACCTCTCTGTCAAAAGGCACAACATTGCTGCGGTATGGCAAGCTGTTCGGATCAGGTATTCAAATTAATTTTCTTCTTTGTCAGAATGAACATTTCAGCTCTCAAAAAATTAATTAAAGGTATCCAAAAAAAACCTACTAATTTCTCTAAAAAAGCTGAAAAAAAATTAGTGACTTGTAAAAATGTCTTTTGGAATATCCAGCAATTTACAAAGCAATTTCAAAAACAAGCAAATTAAAAAATGACCAGCTCCAATTACAACGCAAAGATTAAAAAAGATAATTTGGATATCTGTTAACAAAATATTTTTTATTAACTGTCAAGTGGGGGAAAAATGACTATTACTAAATTCTAGATATCTGAAATACAAATACCAGTAGATATCTACAGGGTTCAATCTAGATCAGAAGAAAAGTTTGAGGCTGTCTGGAACAGAAATGCATAAATGTGGGGGAAAGTGAATTATTTGTCCTTGGCCAAAATAACAACTGATATTCACTTGAACTGTTTGATTGTGGATAGAATATCATTTTGGATATCTGAAATACAGCGGGTAAAATAGGTATTGAACACGTCACCATTTTTCTCAGTAAATATATTACTAGAGGTGCTAATGACATGAAATTTTCACCAGATG